CTACATAAGGAGTTACCTCTCTCTGACCATTTCTTACGCTGACAGCACGTGACTTGTCTGCTGGTCTCCACTGGCAGTACAGCCGACTAGCTGGAATGAGAAGAATTTAGCTTAGTATAGCTTTTGCATACTGAAAACTAGACTCCCAGCTCACACAGGAAGTTTAGTTTGTAAAACTGTGGATTGCTGGGAAATCCATAAAGTTTCTTCCCTGTTTGGAAGGACTGGTAATGTGTTTCCAGATCCTAAAATAGCAAGACACCTATCATGAGCTTATAGCAGCTATCACACCTACAACTTAGGACAGGAAGCTTGCCTCCTTTCACCCATCTCCAAGGGATTGTTCTTGTACTATTTATAACTATAAACTAATTTAAAATTAATTTGTAAGAGGGCATTTAGTGGTACGCTTTGCATATGTTTTCTCAATAGCAGTATTGGCTATTATGAAGGTACTAGTATTGTATATGACAGAAACTTAAAGTAGGATTATAAGGAAAGCAATTTGCAGTAGCATTAACCAAGCTGAATGTAAACCCCCTCTCACATTGAGGAAATATGTTCAGGAAGAGCAGCAGCAGTCTCCCCTTTTGCTTGTGTTGATTGATTGTGATTGCTTTGTTCAGCCCTTACTGTGAGAATGTTGTGAAATGTTCTGCGTATATATGTGTACGTATTATACTGCATTTTTCTGACATGCATTTACATGTGAACACATACTACCCAGAAGAAAAAATGAGTACGAATGAATGCTTATCTTTATTCTTATCTAGTTGTATGCTAACGGTGTAAAGAAACCATTTTATACAGATGTTTTATGTATACATCTAAAACTGTGAAATAGTTGTCTTCAGCAGCACTAAGGTGTAAGTATCAAATAGTAGCTTTTATTTCAAGTGTTTAGCTTCCCTGAAACTTTGACTCTTTAGTTTCCTAAAGTTTTCCTTCATAGGTTTTGTTCATCCACAGCAGCACAAAGGTTTAGTAATACTGAACCAGAAATGTTATTTTTCTATTCCCATGGGCTTTTATAGTGGCCAGAATTGGGATTTTATTGTTGGTAAAAGCCACTTTGGTGTTCCATGTATGTGGAAGTATGATGGTCATTAATGACACATGGCCCTTTGATGATGGCTGATCTAAGGTAAGGCTCAGCCAGTCATTCGCCTCCAGCTGTTTACATACACCAAGCAGGCTGTGAAGCAATTTGCACAATAGCAAAGAGCAGCGAGGAAAGGAGAATCTCTCTCCAATCCTGAATTGAGTACAAAGGTGCTTTTCCTCCTTCCTGTATCCATCCCACTCTATCCCATGCACGTCTGAGTACAGGGTGGCCACAGACCTTGTCTTTATGCTCTCGTTCAGGGGCATGGCATCTTCTTTTTCAAGCTGCCTACAAGTGGTGATAGTTTCCTAGTCTGGTAACTGCTGAGCTTGTACTTTATTAGGCAAGAGCTGTTGTCTTCCGTGTGTTAAGTCCAACTTGTGTTGGTGGTTCCTTTCAAGACAAATTTTTGCTTTAGTACTATGGGGTATGGAGATGTGAACAGAGGAGGCACGTCCAGCTTTAGTTTACCATAAACTCACAGATGAGTCATGTGAATTTTTCTCGAGGATGAAGAGCGTTGAAATTGCTTGGTCCGCAGGGTAAAAAGACTTCAGAGTATAAAATGTTCTTAATTGTTTTTAGAAAGGGGAAATTGAACTTCAAAACATTCAAAAGAAAGCAAGCCTTTTAAGTGATTCTAAATCACTGGGGTGCTCTAAAAAATGATTTCACTGTAACTTGAATTTTAATTGCCTGCCCCTTCCTCTTATTGTCATGGTACTTTCATTCCCTCTGTTTTCCTGGAAGAGAGTGTTGTTATTGCTGTTTATTTTAAGAAATCCAATGGAATTTGTCCTGCAGTGCAGCAAAATTTCAGGGATGGATATGTTTTAATATTCTGTATTATGAATATTTTTTATATCTTTGTAATTAAAAAAATGAAGTTTTAATGACTGCTCTCCTATAAACCCTGGACTGCTGCATTTCCAGCATAAGAAGCTGAGGACAGGCAATGCCAGGTGCAGCCAGAATATTGCTGCAGCCCCACAACATATCATTTTTTTAACATTATTCAAATTAGTCTCAACACTCATAATTCCCTTGTTTCCTTTATTGCTGTTGTAAAGCAAATGGTTCTTTTATACAAATGTTATCTCCTGGCTATTAATTCAGCAGTTATTTTGGATTATGGCACTCCTGTTAAATTTAGGAATGTAAAAGCTCATAAATATTTAAAAGTTTCAGACTGACGTGGGAAGAAATTGTTTTTGACTTGCTTTGTTAATATCCTGTTGTTCAGTTTGTAATAGATTTAGAATATATTGTTATTTCTCCATTGTTTGACAAAGGGAAAAACAATTGTAGTTGAGCAACTGGTTCAAGTGTTCTCCCTTGAATTGTAACAGGCTGGTAAAAGTGTTTCTTTCCAGTAAAAAACAGTAAGGAAAATATCTGGTTTCCTTTAAGAGGACAAAAAATGTGAAAATTTTAATCAGACCCTACTTCAAAGTTAATGAAAATGCAGCAGTAGGTTTTTAAAGTTAGTTTTGATAAAACAATTTCAAGTAGGTCTACTTACAATCCAGTGCTTCTGTTTCAGCATCTTTTGTTATTTAGACTTCTCTCTAAGGAACAAACAAACAAGATGGACAAATGTGTTTCTTCCCTTAGAGATATTTTATAGAGAGAGCATTTACTATGCAATGAGTGTTTTCACAGAATAAATGTTAGTATGCATCTTCACTATCCCCTAAAGCTCTGAAGAATAACTGAATGGTGAAAAAGTCAATTTTTGTAAGATGGCTGAAGGTCTGGACAGCAGTCCCTGGACCAGTGTTCCTGTTTCACGCCTAACCCTATTTTCTTTCTTTCTTTACCTCAGAAGTAAATACATAGCTTTACAGCCAGATCTTAAAGGGTGTTAAGGTGTAACTCCTGTTGAGATCATCTAGAAGTATTTCAAATGTTTCAATAATTATTCAAAAAAAGGTGGTGAATTGATTCAACCTGGCTAAGTCTGCTTGCAGACAAAGTAAGTATGCAGTTACCAGAGCTTATATCTCTGCCTGCACGCTCCAGAGGTTCTTCAGCTATGTCCTGGGATGGCACTTGATGGCTTGGTTGTATTTTCTGTGTCAGTTAACCTCACTGGCATAACCCCATGACTTACTGTGGTATTGGCATGTTTACTGCCTGCTGAAATGAAAAGACTTTTCTTCTAGTGAGCAAATAAGTTAACACTGCAACATTAATACTATCTTATGGCAGGTTTACACTATCTTTTCTTACACAGTATAACTAAACCAGCTTAATCTACATAATGTAATTACCGAGGTGGCACTTTCCACATGTAAAAAGCTTTTTACATGTCAATAACTTCTTGTAGTTAGGGTGCAGTATTTCAAAACACAAGTTTTCAAAAAGGTGATTGCACAGAGGTTGTAACTGTGAAGGTGAACTTACAATTGCATGAACAAATGGGTATTTTATGCAAGTGAGTAGCCACACCAGCTGAGTCCAAGCGATTTTAACCAATTCAGCATGGTCCAGCTCATGGCCTGTGGCCTGGGTCCAGCCCCTTTGTGAGGTTTTTACCTGACCCGTCACCTTCTCTCTGCAGGAGACAGGGAACAGATGCTCCTTCAGCAAATGCAGCCTCCTCCACCTGCCCTCTCTAGGGAAATGAGTGGCAAGTCAGAAGGGGCATCGGGAAGGGCAAACAAGCCCATGAGGGTTGTCAGCACCTCCGCCTGGCTCCCGCAGGTGCTGCTGCTAGACCAGCCACAACACATCCATGTGTGCAACTGTATGCCTTAGCCA